CGTCCTCCACCTGTTGGCTGGTGAAGGATGCTTTGCCCCACATCCGCAGGTAAGGACTAAATACAAACTTCCCCACCTGGAGCCCTGCCAGGGCTGCTGGGAAGAGGCCCCTGAGCACGCAGATCCACCCACCCCTCTGCCAGGCCTGCCCCGCACTCCATATAAAGTGATGGTGAAGTTAAAATAGATTTTGGGCTCCTGCCACCACTTTCTGCTTCTCTGATAAATTTGTTTCTCAGAAAACAATGCAGCTTGAAGCCTTTCCAGGGATCAGCTTCCATTTGCCCCCTGCAAGTTCAAGTACTGGGTCACTATGTATATAAATAATGGAGAACCCCGCTGGAGCCATTCTCTCCCAGAGCCCCAGGCTCCTATTTTGAGCCGGCCAGCCCCGCCCCCTCCTCTGTGGGCTGCAGCCCTCTGAGGTCTGCGTGTGGCTCCAGTTGGGGATGAAGACAAAGATCTGGTGGCTCAGAGGGGCAGAAGCTGTGTCTGGGTGTAGACACCCAGAGTGGCCTGGCCCCAGGAAATGAGGATGTAACTTTCCAGAGCAGTGTTGGATTTAAAGTTCCCAGAAAATGATGCAAAGGAGCAGGGATTCTAAAACATCTCTGCCGAGGTCATCTCCCGAACCAAACACAGTTCAATATGAAGAGGGTGGACTGGACCTGGCAGCTTCGCCCTTGGCAGATCGCCCATGAATTGTGGTATCCATTCTACAGATGAAGACGCTGAGGCTCAGAGTGGCAGCACACCCAGCCCAAGGCCATGCAAGCGGGGAGGGCGGAGCCAGGCTCCAATCGGGATCTGAGTCTGTCTCCCACAGCACATGAACCATTAGTGTCCCTCAGGCTAGGACAGATAAAGATAACCAGAAGGCAAGTGTAGCTCAGTCTGCAAAGTGGGGATGATGCTAGTGTGCTTCCAGTGCAGCTAGCAACAAGAAGTCAAGACACAGGCCCGCAGAAGGAGCTTGGATGAGCTCATGAGAGACGCAGTCCCTGCTGGAGACAGAACGCAGGTGCAGGCCACCTGCAGGCCGTCCCTCGCTCCACGTGTTGGCAACAGCCTCACTGATCACACTTGTTTGATGCGGTTTAGGCTTGTTCTTCACTAAGTCAGAGGCCAAGCAAGGTGACGCTTGGAGTCCCTGAAAGTGTCTTGGAGTCGGTGGCTAGAGATCCTCTTGGGATGCCTAGCACCGTAGCAGGCCGTGGGAGTCACCCAGCCTGAGAGGGACCTGGGGTGGAGCAAATGGCTGCTTGGGCCACTTCGAGTCTGCGCCCTGGCTCTGGCTCACAAGCCATTCTGGACTCCTTGATTTTGTCATTGATGGAATAGAGACTCGTGGGTGGGGCTCTCAGCTCCTGCAGTACCCACGAGGGTCCCTCGTGGCCCATTCACAGCTCTGTCCTTCTAGACCCTGGGGTCCTGAATTCACTCAGTAGTGGGGGGCATGACTGACAGGAGGCAGGAGGGGAGGGACACAGGGAGGACTGTAGGAGGCTACCGTCCCGCGCTGGCTGAGGGACGTGGACTGTCAGCCGGGCCTGGTGGCCACACCTGTGTTCCTAGCACTGTGGGAGCCTGAGGCAGGAGGGTGGTGAGTTGAGCCCAGTGTAGGTGACTTGAGGAGAGCCTGTCTCTAAAAATAAAAAAGGGCTGGGGATATAGCTCTGCTGCAAAGGCCCAGGGTTCAATTCCAGTACCCACCCACCCCCGCCAAAGTTAAATATCCATGAATTCTGCAAGTCCACTCTCAAGTAATTGGTAGCTGGATATGTGCCATATAATGGTATTTACACTACAAAAATTGAATGTCACAGACCAGGACTTCCCTCTACCACCTGTTTTTTTTTTTTAACTTGTACCAGGAATTGTATTCAGTACTTGCCAGGCAGGCGCTATGTCCCTGAGCTGTATCTCCAGCCCCAGACTTGGGTTATTTTGTGTTCATTTGAGACAGAGTCTCACTATCTAATTCAGAGTTCAGACTAGCCTTGCATTCACTATGGTGGCTTCAACTCATGGTGGTCTTCCTGCCTCAGCCTCCAGAATGCCAGGACCACCCTGTGCCGCTGTGCCCAGCTCTGTCTCCTCAGGGAGTCCGTTTGCAAGCAGACCACTGTGGAGTGCTTTACATACATGAATCCTCACCTCACCCCGACCGCCACCCAGTCAGGAAGGCGCCATGGCTGCTGCCATTTTACAGTGGGGAAACTGAGGCTCAGGGAACGGTGAGCACTTGCCCAAGTCTGGTTCTGTGACCCTCTCTGACTGAAAGGTGGGACAGCGGCGTGAAGACCCTCCCTGGCATCCCCAGGCCCAGCCTCGCCTCTGGCGTCACAGGTACCAGCCACGTGATTCACGCCAGTACAGAGACAAACACAGATATTTTTGGCCACAGCTTTTAATCAACTCCTGGGCGGGGGAGTCCTCCGGGAGAAGAAAGACAGTTGCCTGGTGACCAAAACATTTCCCAGTCCACAAAGGTTGCCCTGTGAGACCCACAACAAAACCCCCAGGGGTGCTCCTTCCCTCCAGACAACAAATCCAATCAGCGCCAGACCCCACTGACTGCTGCAGACCATGTCCTGCTCCAGTGACGCCAACAGGGCCACAGGAGGGTCTGATTCAATGAAGTGACGTTTTGAAATGGGCAGCCGCAGCTCTGCGTGGAGGGAGCCCTGCCGGGCATGTGCGTGTTGCCAGAGGCAGACAGTGGCTGCAACCGCAGGGGCCCACACAGGCTCTCAGACAGGGCTGTCCACTGTGTTTGGACATGTCCTTTTGGCACTACAGGTGGGGACAGTCACGAAGTCTATGCAGCTCAGCTTAGGGGATCATAGCAGCTCCCCAGGGAACCTTCCAACTTGAACACTGGATTTCTGCGGGTCCTCTTGCTTTGCGACTGCCCTGGGCATGTGTCTCCAACTCCACTAGGAGTTCCTTGGTGAGAAAACAGTGTCTTATTCCCAGCTGTGGCTCCAGGGCCCAACTGGGGCCTCAGCGTACTAGGCCCTCAATAAACACACAACGAATGAATGAACAAATGCACGCACTACTGTACACATCATGCCTTGGTTTCTCCAGCACCTCCTGCACCTGGGCCTTCTGGTTAGCTCTCCTGCAGTCAGTCAGTTCTCCCTGGCCTTCATGCACAGGTCTTCCTGTCTTCGCTCCCTGCTGGCAAAGACGGCTGATTGGCAGCAAACCCAGGAGGGCAGATGAGGACCCTGAGAAGACCTGAGGCCATGTGTATAATGTAGTCAGCGGGGGAAGCAGGCATTTCAGAAGGACTCCAAGTGCTTGTTAGGAGCCAGCGGCAGCCAGCGATCAGGATAGATGGTATCGAGTAAGACCTGCTGTTGTGGTGGGGTCGCAAAGTTGTATACCCCCAGCCCCCCACCTAGTGATGCTGTCTGCAGCTCCTGGAGCCCCTGCTGGGGGGCAGAGTGCAGACCCCTGCCGGTGTCCCCAGCGGACATCCAGCATTTCCCCCTTGAATCTTTTAAAACCCACAATTCCATGAACTGGTACAGTAAGCTGGAGTAAGTTGGTCTAGCAGCTGTGGGCATGGGCTGCCTCCTCGGGGGCTCTGGCTCCTTTCCTGAGCCCCCACCTCCAGGTCTGTCTGGGCTTTTAGAATTTTGATGCCCAGTGCAGGCTGTGGGCCTGCTGTCCAGCTAACTTGCCTGGCTGATGAACATTTCAGCATTCCGCAGCCTGCCTTAGTCAGCATCAAAATACAGATTCCAGGTGGGCCAGCTTCAAAGGCCATCTGAGAGCTTGGGGGCACTGTGTTTTCATTAGGGGTGCACTTGACCCTGTAGCTCCAGAAGGTTTCAGGAACACCCTGCTGGCTCTTGGTGCTCGCGGCTGCTGCTGGGAAGGGCTGTGACCCTGGAGTTGGCTCCATGGGCAACAGGAGTATGCTGCTGAGACCCTTTTTAGTGCTTCAGGAGTGGGGCCACCCAAGTTGCTGTCTGGCAGCACCTTAGAACTTGTGCTCTGGCCCTGACCTGGAGCTTTATCCCAGAGCCTGGTACCCAGGACAGGTAATGCCTGGCAGGCTCATCCAGCACTAGAGAACCCAATGGCCGGCCTCAGGCGTGAAGGTCTTGACTTTGAATTTGTGCCCCTGCCCTGTGGCCTGCTTGGATATCAGTTTCTCCACTGTAAGGTGACCGGATTCCACAGACCACCAGCGTCTGCCACCTTGGGCTGTGTCCCCTCGGACCTCTTGGTGAGCATCTCATGAACATGGCCCCATTTTAAGGAGGAGGACGCTGGTTAGGTGTCTTCAGGACTGGCCAGTCCACACCCCCAGATGCAGCGCCGAGCCCTTAAACCACCCCAATCCAGCGACTTCCTCCTATGTGGCTATCCACTGCCTTTATCTACAGTGGACAGAGGGGAACTCCGGGTGGGCGGAGCTCTCGGCTCCTGAAGTTTGAGATCAGGCTGGGCCTCTGAGTGGGGGGTGTGATCAGCACTGTCACCGGGGTGTGCTCAGCAAGTGGAGAGAGGCTCGCCTAGATAACAGCGTGCAAATGTGAGATGTGTTATTATTACTGTTGTTGTTCCCCCTAGAGCTAATTAATGCACGCTGACCTCCTTCCCTGTCCCCGAGAAGTGTCGAGTTTTGCGCAGGTAGCTGGGAGGATGTGGGGATGGGATGGGGATAGGCATGGGACCTGCCTAGGGTCTGCTTGGTCCTGTTCCTCCCCACTCCACCAAATTCGCTCACACCTGCTTCGCACAGGCGGACGCAGGAACGCAGAACCCAGGAAGCGCTAGGGGTGTGGGGTGGTGGATATAGAGGAACCGAGAGGGTGGGCTCTTAAAGGGCCCCTTCCTCCACCACTCCTCGGCGTCCCCCCGCGGGCCACGTGCTCCCGGCAGCCGGCCTCCATCCTCATCCTCGTTCCCGCCCCCGCCCCACAGGCTCCAAACCGGCGTGCGCTAGGACCGCGCGCGCCACCCGCCGGCTCTATAAGAGGCCGCGCTCTGGCCCCACGCGGAACCCGCGCTCCGAGCTGTCCCCGGCGACGCGACGCGACGCGACCCGCCGGGACCCGAGCCCGAGCGGCTGCGCAGCGAGACCAGCACGGGCCTGCGGGGAGCGTCGGGGCCCCGCCGCGCGCACCATGGGCGCTGCCCACTCGGCGTCCGCGGAGGTGCGGGAGCTCGAGGGCAAGACCGGCTGTGAGTACGGCGGGGACCGGGGCGGCGGGGACCGGGG